TTTTGCTGCTCTGATGACTCGAAGCTTAGTACCCCAAGAAAGTCCAATGAAGATTGCCACTGCATTAGGGTTACCGAAAAGGAAGACGGTACCACTATCAGCTGTCGGCAACGGCTAGCCTCCCAAATCCAAGATTTCAGAAATGATTTCAATGACGGCACTTTGATACTTTATGCATCGTTGCCTTGTGTTGGAGGTAGCCCATGGGGGAACGTGAATGGCCTTACTGTTGAGGGTCAAGAAAGAATCAAAGAGCAACAAAAACAGTTTACCAAGTTGTTCAAATCTTTTGTCAAACTTGTGGATGAAGTTTATGATGAACGAACCTTGATAGCATTTGAACTGTCCAAGAATTGCAAATATTGGAGATGGCCGATGGTTAGAAAATTCCTCATAGAACGATCCATGACTACTCATCACTTTGATGGTTGTATGTTGGGTGTTCTTGGAAACAACGGTCAACCAATGAAGAAAAGTTGGACTATTGCAGGAAACTTCAAAGAACTCGCAGTGTTAGACTCATTCAAATGTGATGGCAAACATGAGCATGATCAAAGTAGGGGCAAAGCTCTTAAACTTGCTGAGAACTATACCTTCAAGTTGACTGACATGCTCCATGAGTGTTTCCGGGTAGCTGTGGTGGGCCAAACATCCAAAAGGATTTCACCCGCTGTCATTCGTGCCTGTCCTGCTAAAATGGCTGACTCGCGATATGCCACAGCACACCCGGCCAGCCGCGAGGCTGCGCTCGAAGCCACACGTGAGGCTAACAGAGAAGCATGGTTGCTCCTTCACAATCGCATTTTGTATGCATTGGCCATGCGCAATGAAGGTGAGAATCAGGCTGCTCAGGACCTCGTGGATGGATTGATGACCGAATGGACGCCGGCCTCGGCCCTGAGGTTCTACGGTCGAGAGGATCCGCTTGCAGAATACCTTAGCTTCTGCTTTTTGCCAAAGGAGTCCCACATCGAAAAGATCATGTTGCCAGAGATGCCTGTCAATGAAGTAATCTGGATCTTAGTCTCTGACTCGTCATGTGCTTTGATCACAGGGCATAGGAAAACACTTAAGAAGTTTGACCTGTCCGAGCATTACCGGCAGCGCAAACCTAAGTATGTGACTGAGTTTATCCATGAGATGCTTTGGGGCAAAACTCTGCAGAAGTTGGTCAAACGTGGGATTGAATTGGCCGCGGACGCCCGCGAGCGCTATCCTGATGCCCGCATCAACCTGCATTTGTCCTGGTTCGGAAATGAATTGGTAGGTGAGGATGGGATTGCCCAAAATCCAAATTGGCCATACGACGGCCCCAACGGGCACTGGCCCACGATCCTGGATGATTGTGAGCGCCATTTGACTTGGTTTGTCAACAAGGCCCGGGAGTTGGATTTGCAATCGGCCGGTCTCACGACCGCGCCTTGGTCCGCTGACTATGGCATCCATCATATCTTTGACCAGTTCTTTGATGTATTGGAGCCAAGATTTAAAGCTCTAACCAGCAGCCTGCAAGGGCCTGCCAATCCGAAGTATCCGTGGCTGAAAGCGAAGGGGTACGCCGATGCAATGGAATTCAGAGACCAGTGGCATTTCGCCAACTCTGAAGAAAATCGCACGCGTCTCGCCGCTTATTGGACAGCGACATTGTTCGCTATTGACTGCGGATGGCGGGTTGGCCGAATTGGTTTGGAGCTTACTCAGTGTGGCCAGGAAACATGGGATGATTTGCGGAGGAGCATGAGCGCCGTCCTCGACGAGCTGCCAAGATCCTATCAGGAGACATGTGCAAACATCACCAAGTTGCTTTTTGGAGAGTCCCGACGACACATCACGCCGACGGGCAGGTCATTCACCAAGGAGGAAGTTGAAGCTCAACAACCAGACACCGAGGACTACATCGACGTCAAGACGATGCCTTCTGGAACTTTTGCTGAGCCTCCCAAAGATGACCCTCCAAAGGCCGCCGGCGACGGCGAGCCCGCTGAACCCAGCAGAGCAACAATCCTGGTCCAAACGGCTGAGGTCATGTTGAAGTCGCGACCGAAAGCAGCACCAGTCCCAGTGGATGAGCCCGCAGATGACAAAAGAGCCACATCCAGCCAGTACCAGCCGCAGGCAACTGCGCGCTTAGAGGAACATGCATCCGGCCACGTGAAAGCATATTGGATGGAAGAGCATTTGCCTGAATACCAATATGCAATGGTGACCAATGCAGACGGGGAAGATGTGCCCGGGATCCTCTTTGAAGGTACGGCTTATGAACTGGAACTGCTATCGGCATCCGACGTTGAGACCATTGCTGGCCAGACTCGTGTCGACAAGAAATTTTCCGATTTTGCAACCCGTGTCAACAAAGTTTGCAGGGGGCATGGATCCTGTGCCAAGGTGCCAATGGACAAAGACCTTTGGATCGACTTGGAGGATTTTGCCAAAGCCTTCCGCAAGGAAGTGCCCCCAGATGTTTTCATCACTGTCGCAAACCTGTTTGGCACCGCAATGAAGATCGACAAGCATGGCAAGAGTAGGTTCCAATTCTTGTGTGCAAAGATCTCCCATTTTCCTGTCGACAATGGCCTAGGCATGCCGTATTATCCTGTGAAAATCCGTGCAATTCAGGGTCATTCCGAAGCTGCCTTGAAAACCGCCGGGGGTCTTTATGCCAATTCAACCATGGTGTATTGCTCAAACCAAGTTTCCCCCGAGCGAAAAGCCGCCTTCACTGGCGTGCCCTTGTGTGCCATGACTGAGGTCCCTGAAGTTGTTTTTCATCGCACGATGAGAAGCAGCTGGAAGAGCATCGCACAGAACGGCCTGATCCCAGGCGGCGGTGACACAGTCAACAGTGGCCGTGCTCATATCTACATGGCAGAACACTGTATCGGCACACAAGGATATCGATCTGGATTAAGAGCAAAATGTCCAGTCGAAGTCAAAATCGCAATGCGGCAAGCAGTTGAAGCTGGTGTCATCTTTAGTCGCACAGAAATGGATGGTATTTTGTGTTCAGAACGCATCCCACCGCAGTTTCTGGTCAGCATCTCAGAAGATGGACAGGTGCTTTGGCCCCGCGCCGAGAGCAATCTCGAGCCCAGCTCATGGACAGGCGCGGAATCAGCCTCAGCACCGAAATCCAGAGCGGTCACCCTGACTGCCCGAGATGATGCAAATGACGACCCAATGGATGACACCAGCACGGGGCGACCCGATGCCAGTCCACTGATGATGCAGCCACTGCCCCAATGCAAGTTGACCAGCCGCCCGCAAGGACGCGCCGTGTTTACATTGCACCAAAGTACTGCGAACCTTTCATGGGCTCCTGCCCCCTCTGCCAGGTCGAGTACGTCAGTGGCCAAGTGACATGCACCACATGTGGATATGAGCCACTCCCAGTGGACGAAAATGGCGAAACAAAAGAGGCCGACAAACCCAACAGGAGGACCCGCATCCTTGAACGGTGAATGCAGAGTCTCGCCGGGTTCGGAATGTTTGGGAAAATGAGCGGCAGCTTGTTGACGGCTTTGACAAATGAGCAAGCCGATCTTCTTCGCCGGGAACTGGGCCCCAGGGGAATCACATCCGTGGAATCAGCAGTCCTCAAAGACTGCCGCGATAGGCATCGACGTGCAAAAGCGCTGGGCTACGAGGACGTGGAAGATAGATTCGCCAGCGACGTCACTTTTTGCGACCGCATGCACGGTGAGGGGAAGGGCCTGCAGGAATGCATCTTTGATGATATGTTCGCATACGCTAACCTCCCCGATCCCCCCAGGACCAAAGCTCAGATCTCGGCTGGCGTCGCCGCCAATGCCCAAAATGAAAACTGCTTATCAAAGTTGATTTTCATGTCCCAGCCTCGAGGTGTGGAAGGGTTCCCAGTTGAGTTCCGCAAAACATGGAAGAAAGTCTGGGGATTCATGTTCGGCCGCCACATTTTTACAGAGGATGAATATGTCAGCTACATCGGCCGTCGTGGCGCATTCCGTGGCCTGCTGACCTGGAAGGGCACCGTCCAAGTTCCTTTTGATGGCACTCTTGAATTCCTCGAAAAGTGTATGAGGAAAACCTTCCATTGGTTCGGGGCAACCTTGAACGCAAAGAGAAGCAGAGCGCCGCTGCAAAGGCTGGAGGTCCTGGAGGTCAAAAGGCCGACCCCACGGTCGCGCCCACCACTGAGCGAAAGCGCAAAGCCGAAGCTGATGCATCCGCCACCGCACATGATGACACAGCCGCCTCAAGCTCTGCTCGCGCAGACGCCTCGCACGCTGATGCCTCAGTTGATCCCAACAATGCACCATTTCTCGCACCCGAACCACCAACATCCAAAGCAGGAGCACGACCATTCTTGGAGCCTGAGACGCCGCCCACTGCAAAAGCAGCAAGCACAGTCACATCGAAGGCTGCAAGCTCCGGTCGCCCGGATGCCTCTTGGAGTTGGAATCGTGATCACTATGGTGCACGCCGAGAATGGAGTTTCTGGCGTGGGGCTTGGTATTACCGTGACGAGGCCGGTGGCCGTTGGATCTATTGGAACCGCAGGTAGACGATGATTTTCTTTTGTAGCATAGCGCAAGATGCGGCATGGTAATGTGCCTTCCTTGCAAAGCTGCGCGGGGTTTTACGGGCTTGAGCTTTTAGAGGGACCTTTGAAAGACTGCATACAAATGTCTAAAACCAACTAAAGAAATTTGGCTACCCGCGAGGGTATGCTTTTCTGGGTTATTCGTTCTCCGCAGTCGTCCCTGCTCGCCCGAGGGGGGTGTAAAAACTCCTGCAGTAAAACCATGTATAATATATGTCATCGATCTACTCTGAAGCGTTGGTTCAAAACAGTGCTGACCGCTTAACGGTTTGTTGTATTTATCCCCATTTCCGGTTGACCTGGTAAAATACATTTTCTATCTCTCATGCCCCAGTTCCAGGAGCCCAACTGATCACGGCTGGTTTAATCTTGATATTCCCGGAAACATCCGGAAACTAGTTGTTTGATCTGCACATCTGAGGTTTACAACACCTACTGTTCAGCAGAAGATCCAGCCACTGGAGTGCATTCCAATTGGACGGCCATCACTGCCACATATCAAACTGCCCGCACGGGTGGCTGCTTCAATTGTGGCAATCTGGTGCCCCCAGACGTGGTCCTTTGGGGCGGCTTTGTTGGGGCCAATACCATCGGACCCTGGATCTCAATGGAACGTGTTTTTTTTGGGGGTTTCCTCTTCCAACTCTGCCAACATATCTATGTGGCTGGGGCACTTTGTTCCACTTTGTTCCACTTTGTTCCACTTAGTTCGCCATGCTGAGCGTGACAGTCATCTTCTTTGGATCATTTAGGATCATTTCAGTGCATTTCAGTGCCTCCAACATGTTCTTTTCATTTCCCCCCTTTTTCGAGGCCATCGTTTGTAGCTCCAAACCCACCGTCCTCCCATCCTCCCAGGCGTCGTGGCGAGCGCCAGCGAGCCGGGCCGCATCTTCTGCAACGCGTTGGAGGTGAACGGCACCATGGAGACGGTCATCACGGGGACCTTGGTGCGTGAGCCCAACTACTTCGCCATTGTGACCAGCGGGGGCATCACTGTGTCCATCACCGTGGGGGGATTGCTGCCCATGACGGAGTATGAGGCATGGATGGCATGGCGATGATGAAAAGAGACTATTTTTTGTGATATTTCTTTTTGAGGAGTTAGGGACTCAGAATTCACCACTGGCTGATTTGTTTCAAACTTTTGGATGTTTGCACACCTCCTTGAGATGATTTTACGAAGTACATATACATACATACAAGCACACACACACATGTGTATATTGATATATTTAATATACACGTACCTGAACGAGATTGGCTAGATACGGAATATGTGTATGCATATGTTATGTGCCTTTAAACATTTTTATGTGTATACGGTATACGTATGCGGTATGTGTACGGGTATTGTCGTTCGTTAAGCTCTCCAGGTTTGGCTGGCTGCGATTCCGATGTCGTTTGTTGGTCAAATGCACTGTGTTTTTTTTGGGGGTCGGATCCCCCACAGTTGGTATATCAGTTTATATAAGTTGAATTCCCTGGTTGAATGACAAGCCTTTTGATGGCCATATTTCCATTTGTTGGTGGTGATATCCCCAGTCCTCCCTCTGGAGATACAAATTGACAATGAGTGACAATACTGGCAGTCAATATCAGCCCTAAATGAGTCATAGGCCTATTTTCTAATAGCGTTTTAACTGCCAAAAAACAATCCTCATGATGACAATGATGCCGTCATAGCAGCGACTGTGATGCGAAGAACAATAGAACGGATGACAATAGTACTGTAACTAATAAACAACAATAGATCAGATTGCCAATAAACCAATCGCAAGTGCAATAATCTTAGCATAGAAATTTTATATTAAAATTCCGTACTCGCAAGTCACAATAATTTAACCAACACGAATCATATATTAGCCTCTGGTAAACTAACATAACTATGGAAAATCATCATTTTTAATGGGAAAATCCACTATAAATGGTCATTTTCAATAGCTATGTTAGTCATTACCAGAGGGTAGCAGTTGATACCAACACATTTCATCACCAGCCATGGGGATCTCTCCATGGCTGGTTTTTAGGTGGCCTGCATGGCCGAGTCCGACGGTGGGGCGGAGAGCCTTCAGCAGCAGATCGACAAGACGCGACGGAGGATGTGGACGGAGGAGGTGGATAGCACCATCAGTTCCATGCGCATCACCCGGGAGGAGGGGATGGGACTTGGGAAGATCTGGGAGAACTTTTTTGTAGGTGAACTAAGTGGAGATAGATGGATGGATGGATGGATGGATAGATTTAATAGGGGCTTATAGGGGTTATATCCCAACAAATAAGATTCTCCAATGGATGCATTTGAATTTGATCATGACCTGACTGTGATGTCACTGGAGCCACCCCCAAAATCGCCGTAGAAACCACCATGGTTTCGGGGTATAAGATATTCCCTCAAACCAATCCATAGAATGAATGGGTATTAATGGGATATTCTAATCCGTAGAATATTGATGAGGATCTAATTGGATGTTAATAGGATATGGATGGAATATGAATCAATGGACATATCATGGGATGATGGATCACCTGCAGTAAACCAACATAGTTATACCTATTCAAACCAGTGATTTTCTGGAGCTATGTTAAATGACCAGAGAGTAGATGGATGGTTGGGTGGGTTGTTTTTCAAACTAATGACTGTATACCTAGTTAGTTGATGTTAGTTGGAGATTACTGTATATATGGAGCCAATTGAAGTTAATAATTGTAAACAAAACCTGATTACTCCTAGTTTTGGAGATTTATGATGGTTGGCCACATGATGCTGGCTAACAGCAATGATTACAGTATATATACATATAATTACATATATACACACATGTTTTCCGCAACAGTTGGTGAACAGAGGGGTAGCTCCCATGGCTCAGGGATATGTCTTTTCATCATTTTTGCCCAGATTAGAATGTGGGGCTATAATTGGCCAAAAAAATGTACATACATGCATCCATCCATCCGTCCATCCATCCATCCATCCATCCATACAACACACACACACATATATATATATATGCATATGTGCATATATATATATATCTCTCTCTCTCTCTCTCTCCCTCTCTCTCTCTCTCTGGGTCTTTATATAGATACATATATAGTCATATATGCATAAATGATCATAAATGCAAATGTTTACATATACATACACACAATATATACACATACATACATGCACATATTATACATGCGCATGTAAACCATCTCAAGAATAGGATGTTTGAAGGGTCTTGTCAGCAAAAAAAAGATGTGTGATACCGGATGCAGATTTTTTTGTCCGTGGCGCGGCTTCCACTTCCAGGCCAATCTGATGTTTGATGAGATCACAGTGAGTACCCAGCTGGTGAGCATCGGCTACTTGTGGTGTCAAGTCTTCCCCAGCGAAAACCTGCATCAGTTGGGTGTGCCCACTGCGGCAGCACTGCAGGAAGCAGACGAGTTGAAGGTGGCTGACCTGCAGGAGTTGTCGTCAGTGACCTTTGCGGAACTGGATGCTGGGACGATTGGGACATCATGGGACATTGATCCGAGGCCTTTTTTTTTCACCACTAAAAATTGGTATAGTAATAGCTTAAACCCATGGTTTATAGCATATGGTATCTATAGATCATTGGGTTATAAACCTTAAGCATGGTTTATAGCATATGGATGCATATGGTATCTATAGATCATTGGGTTATAAACCGACTGCTAAGTGGGCAATGCATCCCATCCACCTAATGACGGGCACACATTCCAGCACTGAGGATCAAAACACCTCCTACGACGTCTGGTGCACTGCTGAGTTCAACGATTTTCGCGATGATCAAGCGGGCCAGAACTTGCTGACACCCTTTCCCAAAAGCACCATCTTGAGCATCGAGAGCTCTTACTACACGGCTTACGTCCTGGTTCAGGTGACGAAGGGTCCGGCCAGCATCTTTTGCCAAGCATATCCGTGGGCCTTGAGACCCTTCACAGAACGGCCTCCCATTCCAGCCGCGCTGCAGATACAGGCCTCACCCTACACCACGAATTATATGAGTACTCCATCTGGACGTGTGCTCATCGAAATTGAGGCAAGGTCATGTGGCGATGGGAAAACGATAGGAAAAACCTCGGTCCTAAGGGGAGTGATGGAGCCGTCTCACGTTGCAGGGGTTCTTGGATCATGCACACTTCGCACCGCCCCAAGGCCCCAGGCACCCCAAAAAGTTACAGTAATTCCTATGATAGGGGACCACAAACCTCACCATTTTTTTTCGGAGATGTCAGCAGCTTGGTCTGGTTTGAGGAGCTCACCCCCGGCAGATATTATGATGTCTACTGTTTCTCTGAGACTTATGTGCCTCCTGCAGCCACTGGAGCCGACACAGTGGCGCAGTTCGGAATGGATGCAGAGTCCATCCTGCAAACCCGGACCCAACTCATCACGTTGGGGCCCTTCTTTGATGATCTGGGATGGTCCTGCGTCTCGGGAAGGCCCTGCAACGTGACCGACTTGTTCCTGGGTGATGGAGTGTAGCAGTTGCATTTTTCTGGGCATAATTTTGGATTTATTGCCTTTTCATAGGTTGCATCCCCAGTGCTTTGGCGATTCGGGTGAAGTGCTTGTTTAGCCTCAAAATCTCGGCGCGCTCTACCCACCAAATCCCCAGCTGACATCCATCTCAATCTGATCGAGCTTGGCGTTTGTTCGCGCCTTTCATGTAGGGTTGAGTCAATACCTATCGTTTTCCAATGTTTTCCATAGTGGTGGGATGAACATCCCTTTGCTGGCTATTTTAATCACCAGGGATCACCACGGGTCCCAAGCTCTTGACCATGGCCGTTCCTTTCCCAGGCTGGGCTTTCACCTCTCGGAAAACGATGGTCTCTTTGTGCGCGAGGACGGGTGTCCCAGAAGGTGTCGGTGCCAGGGAGTGGCGGATGCCTACAGCAAAGGATCGCAGTGTTCGGAGATCTCACAGGATCCTACTGTTCAAGCTGGGGTAGGCCTGGAGAATCCCAAACAACTGGGTTTGTGGGCCGAGTTTTTTTTTTTGAATCATTGGTTCTTTTTGGTATTGATTTTGGATTACTTTGGGAGGAACTCTTGTAACTCTTGGAGTATGAAAGGAGGCAATTCTTCTCTGTAGACATCGTATTTAAGCAGCTTGTGAATACAGCACAACTGGGTATATCACACAGGATGAAGCTGGATGCGTCCTCCGAGCCCTGCAAGGTCTGACAGATGCCAAGGATCCGCGGGGGGCCTGGTGCTATGTGGAGCCAGGACAATGTTCGGACGAAGAGCAATCCATGGTTTTTCCTCAACATTTTCTGTCGTACAAGGTCTGCAGCTATTTGGTGGACCCTTGACTGGTGGGGATGGGTCTGGCTACCATGTATCTGCTATTTTAATGTGAACTGTGAACTGCAGGGCCCTGGGGTTTTGACCCGCGAGCACATTTCTGATGACCCATGATACCCCTTCACACATGACCCCAGGCAATCCCTTCCCGATCTTCCACCCCAGCATCATACCACCCTAGAAGCCCTGGTCTAGCTTGAAGCCTTCATTTTTGGGGTGCCAAATGTTGGGGTTAGGGCGCGGTTAGGGTTTTTCAACTTATTTCCCATGGTATTTCATGGTGTTCCAATGTGTTTCAGTGTGTTGCCATGTTGGGGCAATATGGGGCATTATGGGGCAATGGGTCGATGGGATCTGCCTTGTGGTTTTTCCCCCCAAGGAGGTTGGCAGCGGCGCCACCGTCCCCGGCTTCCCCAACGGCGGAGTGGCCACCACCCTGGCGGACGGCCGCGGCTTCAGCTGGGGCGATCAGCCCATCGTGGCAGCAGGGAAGACCTACGACCTCTGCTGGTGCAACGGGACGGCCTCGGGCTGTTTGTTGCTGGGCTGGGCTTGTGGGTTGGATGGGCATGATGAGCTGAATCAATTTTAGGCTTCTATTATTCTATTGATTTGGGGAAGTGAAGTTGTGAATGCTTCAGCATTGGGGCTGAAACTCGGTGTTAGGATTTGATCTGGCTTCAAAGTGGTGAGGGTTGAATTAGCTAATTAGCTGTGAATTGTCCGAGATTATGGCCCCTGCCATGGCCCATGCGTTTGTAGCTCTTGGGTGGATGATAATGCATCCAAACCACATCCCACCAGAAGGCCTAGCTGACCCAGCTCCTTGGGATTCTCTCAGGGGTTGTGTGACCCTGGTCCCCCATCATTTCTGTTTCATTTCACATCATTTCACATTTTTTCACCTTTTTTGCTGCTCAGAATTAACTGAACTCAGTTCTGGAGACTTCATGTTGATAGTATTAGATAGTATCTATCTGATATCTATCTACCATTTTCCATGCTTCTTTCACCTGCCCGTGATCTCCAATTCTGCAACCCCAACTCCTGATACCCCTAGCCCTAGGCAGGCCTCACTCAGGTTGGAGGCGGATTTCTCCGTGCGCTTGGGGCCTTTGCATTTCGGTGGCCCCTCAGCCCAACAAGCTGCCTCTGTGGAGATCTGCCGCGCGGGGCTGCCATGCTCAGTGGCGAATTTTCAGGGACAGGCCATCCAGAATGGCTCCCGCCTGGTGGTGCTGCCCCAGGACCCCCGCGGCTGCCTGTGGCAGAGGCTGAGTGAGGTAGACCCCCCAGGTCTCATGGACTTTCCCAACATTGGGGTCTCGGAGACCTTCGATGAGGCCGTGGCAGCTGTCGGGTAGATATACATGTTTTTTAATCATTTTTTCATACATGCAACATCTATGATATATATATATATAGAGATAGAGATAGAGAGAGAGAGAGACAATATCTGACACATTACTATATCCTATACAGGGATTTGATTGCGATATGTTGCGATGACCCTGACATGATGACTTGGTTTTGGTATGTTTTGGTGAGATTCACCATTTCTGGTTGGATTGTTCGTGTCCCAGAGGTGAATTGGGGCCAATGTCGCTTGACCGTCCCCAGAGGCCACACGCAGCTACAGCTTTTACGGCGACCCACTGATTGCACGTGGGGGGCACTACAACCTCTGTTGGTGTGGCCCACCGTCGGAAGGCCACTGTGATTGTGGGGCAAAAATTGCAGCTCTTAAAAAACTTTTAGACGTCACCAAGACCATCCCAAAGCCATAGAATTGTCATAATATTGACAGTTTGACCATTTCATACGCAGCAAGTGAAGTTTTGGGACTCCGTTTTGCAGGTATCATTCGAGTACCTGGCAAGGATTACCGGCAGCCCGATGGTTTGATTCCGCCTGCTTGCCCGCCGGTGAGGGCTGAGGCTGGGAATTGAAGGGGGTGGGAAAGTCAATGGTAGAAACTGGTTGGTGGTTTTACTTTCTGTTTTCAACCGATTTTGGGGATACACTGGTCATGACTGCCTACAGATCATGAGGTTTGGAATTCTTCTCCTTTTCTCCCAAGTCCATTTTGCAAACCTTATTGGATTTTGATGCGTCGGAAGCTTGATCGAGCAGTGGCCACCAAATCGCTTGTGATGGTTCCCACACCTTGAAACTCTTGAGCCATGCCTATTGATTGATATGGGTCTCCCAGAGCAGGGACACTAATTCACCACAGCAAACCCATAGATTTTGTGGGTAAAACATGGTAAAACATGGTAAAACCCATGGGTTTCCCATGAGTTTCTGCAGTTTCCCCTACAACCCAGCCGAGTGGCCGACGCTATCACCAGGACAGTGGTTCCTTCCTGTCCCCTGCCGGGGTGTTACAGCTGATCGGGCCCTCAGGGCAGGCAGACACCATCTGCCGCCTGGGGGTGAACTGCCACTTGGTGAGGTCTTGGAAGATATTGACGTGTCAAAGATCGATGGGTGACACCATTTTAGCATATATATATATACACATATACGCTATGTATATATATATATATATGCACATTATATATATATATATACACTATATATATATATCATATGTATCTACATGTATAACATAATCAATGTAATGTAATATATATATATATAGAATGTAACGTAAGGTAACACAACACAACATGATAGCCTCTATATATATATACTTACATATCTATGTATAAACTGAGATGTTTTGATAAAACATGAGACTACAATCTTGTTTGTTTTCCAACCTATTTGAAACAATGGTGCCATGCCTGTCATGGCTTGCATTCCCAAGTTCAAATTGATACCCCAAGCCGCCATCAGCTGGTAGAACCAAGAAGCTTGCTGATACAAGGCTTGTAGATACATAGAGACATCTATACATCAATACATCGATATATCTATACCTGCATTTATGTCTCCATGAGTCCATTTTTTTTTAAAATAAATATGTCTGAAAAAGATCCAGCACGGGGGTTGTCTGAAAATTGGATTCCCGCAAATTTGATGGTTTAACACCTCATTTCCCCATTAAAATCCCCTGTCTCATAGCCATATATGTATGGGTGGTACCGCCCGTGTTTTCAGACAAACCCAGACATCATATGGGTGATTAGGTGTGCATACACACACATATACATATATATATATATATACATACACACATACATATACACATACACATACACATACACATACACATAGATATACATATACATATACATATGTATATGTATGTATCTTCATTATACCGACATCTTTCACACACACACATATTATATATATATGCATACACATATATATGGTCCCGTGTCCCGTGTTCCCACCCCCCATGGGATGGGGGGGGTATGATGCCCCTGTGGTGGTGGTATGTATGTATGTATGTATGTATGCATGCATCTATGTATCTATGTATCTATGTATCTATGTATCTATGTATCTATGTATCTATGTATCTATGTATCTATGTATCTATGTATCTATACCTACGTACACACATACACACACATACACACATACACACATACACACATACATACCTACCTACCTACCTACCTACCTAAATACCTAAATACCTACATACCTACATACCTACCTACATACCTACATACCTACATACCTACATACCAACATACCAACATACCACCATACCACCACCATAGGCCACAGGGGGGGGGGACCAGAAGAACCAGACGATACTGTCCACCCATACCCTGCCGCTCTCGCTCTCGCTCTCCCAGGTGCCGTGCCGCAAGTTTTGGGCGAAGGCCTACAGGGCAGTGACCGCGTCGCCGTGCTGCAGCGCTGCGGACACGCTGCCGTGCCGCCCACGGGGTGGAATGGAGGCCATGGCAGCCGTGGAACGTGTTTCAGGGCCAGGTTGAGATGCCCAAAATGGGATTTCTGCAACAAACATGTGGATTTAACATGTGTTAAATCATGATTTAACATGTTTTCACATGATTTAACTGGAGCAAAATGAAATCGGGGCATAAACCGACAATATTGGGGATGCAACGTGGGGATATCATTTGGGACATGGAACAATATTGGAATTATGTTTGGGTGTGTCTGAACATGGGGTATTTACCAGCCATTTTGTCACCATTGTGAAATACAACAACTGGTGATAGATCAGTCGATTTAGGGCGTTTGTCTATTTCAGACAAACCCAAAGGAGGGATGCTTTTTCAATGGGGATTTCAACAGCTTTATGGGATTTGGGGGCACCCGACTTTGAGACATAGCCATATTGAATCATATTGATAGGTAGTTTAGGCCATATTTTGGGGGGATATCCCCTTACATAGGCCTTATATAGGCCTTATATATGGTAGGTACCTCCAATTTAGGATCCTGGAATTCCCATTGATTAGAGTTTAGATGGCGTAGATCACCACAGTTTCTCGGGAGAGATTTGATAGGCAGGGGAACAGGGGAACAGATGGAGCACTCGCATTTTGCACCAAGCATCATCCAAACAACCGGCCTAGTTCCAAAAACCACTTCTGGCTTTTCTTGAGCTCCAACCACCATAGAAATGGACCCCTCTCTTCAAGGACGCGTAAGTACATGTACATGCACAGCGTATTTACAATATATTTATATACAGATGTACACACCTACATTTAGATATCTGTATATGCATGTGATTTGCATACGTATGTTTATATATATATATACAGTAAACATGTTAAATATGTATTATATATATATGATGGATATTTATATACATTATTAATTGATTTCTACATGCCCCGTTGACTTGACGCCACTCCGTAGAGCAGGTGCCTCGGCCAAAGGGCCTGGCTGGACCTCAGCCGGATGGATCACACATGGCCCCAGCTTGTCAGCCAGTTTGATGGCATCCTTCGGCGCCTCGTCACTACTTCTAGGGGCAGGGGATGACGATATGCTGGCAGAAATACATGGCTATATAAATGCATTAAATGCATACATGTCTGTAATTGTAAAAAATAAATAAATACCGGTAAATAAATAAATAAATATATATATATACAATATCCGTATACACATATCATGGAATTTTATTCACATTGGCATATGTATTGGTTAAAAGAAATCGAGTCATATCTGCATCTCAGGTGCCCCGGGCTTCCCAGCGCCGGACGGGGTCAACGCATCAGATCGAGGAGTCTACGGTGTCCAGCCGCAATGGATCCCTTATGATTGGTGGTCACCAGTATCAGTGGTATGATGCTGGTTTTTGGATTTTGATAATGCATTATATATAGATAGATAGATAGATGGATGGATGGATGGATGGATGGATGGATAGATAGATGGATAGATAGATGGATAGATAGATGGATAGATGGATAGGTACACATTTCACATACGTACGTATGTACACGAATGTACATATCTGTATGCATTTGTATGCATGTAAAATCATACATCTGTACATATAAAACGCCTCCGTTTTCCCATCCGCCGCTCCTTCAGCTCTGTTGAAACCGAGGTTTTCCCAACCTGGGCATTTCCGTGGCTTCCTCCGTGGTGGGCTACGTCTCCTGGGAGGGCCCCGTCTGGGCCTTCGCGGGCAACTACCAGCTCTGCTGGTGCGGTGCCGATGCCACCACCACCGGGTGCAAGTCGCCAAAGGTGTCGTGGCGAAGTTGGTTGGGGTGACATGTTTTTAAAGGGGGGTTGGGGGAGTTGAATAATACTGTAGTTATCTGTAGTTGGGGTTGATCCGTTTTTTTCCCCCTGAAGTTTGGGAAGGTTGAAAGGTTTTGGTGCTTTTTGATTCGAACACTTTGCTCTACATCCCTTTTTCAGTGGGAAACTTATCGTACAGACAGTCACAATTTTTCCTCTATGTTCTTTTTCAACGCTTTTGTTTCGGGTAGTTCCCTTTGCCCTTTATTTGGGTCCAAGGATTTTCTGGTCCCTTTCGGCCGGTTGGTCCTGAACGGCCCGGCCGTGTTGCCCTTGGCGGCCCAACAGTTCCGCTGTGTGCGGATGCGACAGTGCGAGATTGAACGCTTTGAAGGCACAAACGCGCCAGGGGGTGCAGGCCAGAGGCTACTTTTATGAGTATAACATAGTATAACGGTATAACCATGGGATTGTAAACCCGAGAAGTGAGAAAAACAAGAGTATAACCATGGCATGGTAAACTTCCCATAAGTTGGGATATGGGGCCCTAGAACTATGGCAAAACATATCGCCGCAACTGGAACTGCACTTCCAAGTGGAGAGGAGGAGAATCCCATGCCCCGTTCATCTGAAAAATACTCCAGTGATCCCCGTCGTATGAGTAAATCCCCTACATCCACCATGGATATTAGGGGGAAGGGATTAGAGAAGTGATAGGGATGATCCCTTCCCACGGGATCAGTTTGATATACGTATGTGTATATAATATACTGTGTATATATCTATAAATATATCATCCCAAAATGACTGGATGCAAGGGTTACCTTGGGATTCTACGTGGGTATTTTGGATTAGGGAGAAGGGATTACATGTTCGCAGTCACATCACACTTCAGCACAGCATCTCCCCAATAGAAAGGCTTTTTTGGTGGAACAGAACATGCTTTGACATTGGAGTACAGGGGGTAATTTTCTGTGACCATGATGACGTTTCATAATTAGAGTGGCGCTTACAGGACAGCTGGATACACAGCAGCTTACGTGAAGTCACTCAGATTTTGCCAGGTACCATGCCTCCAACCAGCAAAATCATGCTGGCATCTGGGGAATGCGGCACGGAAGGACCTGGTGGCATGCCGCAACTCAGCTGAAACAGCTTGACATGGTGGAGGGTGCCGGTGTACATGACATGATGCCGGGTGAGTTGCAGGGGGTTGCACCGGAAATCCTTTTGAACGCGATGGAGCCGGCATCCGAAATGGATAAAACTGCAGCCCACTTGACGTCAATACACCTCTCAAATGATCCAGGAAGGGCCTAAGGGCCAAGAAGATGGGAGGGGATATGATTAGCGGCAGATGTGCTTCACCCTTCTTATTGGGCTTCCAACTGATACTGGGTATGAAAAAAACCCGTGGGGTGAACTCCCAATAGGAAGTACAGCATGTAGCATCGTGGTGTTGGCCTTCAGATTTGTGGCCTCCCGTGCCATATCCATCCCCAAAGGGGCCATGGGTTGACCACACAGCTGGACTCCAGTCTCCCAGGTTGAAGGGACAGTCTCTCCCTTCCAAAGATGGTTTCCACTTCTACTGGGGCAGAGATGCTCAGCCTCCAAGTTCGGATAGTTCGGTGCCGGGGCGCTGGGTTGATGATCAACGTTGATAAACATTCAACAAACCAATTACAATTAGTATAGGGAAAGTTGGGTGGCAAAATCGAACTTTTTTTGTTGGTGAAGCCCGTCTGAACAGACCTGACATATCCTGAAATATTAAATTAATGCACATGATCTTTCTTCTCTGGAGTCCTGAGATAAGCTGCAGATCTCACATTTTCAGGACCAGTCCCGAGCAGGTCTTGACCCACATGGGGCCCCACATAATTCGCTGAAGCCCATGATCCTTCGCTGCGCCGTCGCCCAAGGAAGTTGTGACAGCGGATCCAGGGAAGTACCGCCTGTGCTGGTGCACCGAGGGTCAAGCGTGCGTGTTGCCCCAGCAGTACTTGAGCCTCCTGGCTATCAGTAGCAACATGTAGCAACTCCTGATGTCTTGTCATTTGGACCATAGTATATAACTATGGCAAAGGGATCAAAGGGATAGACCAGACCCAAAATGAATCGATTGGGGGCTTGTTGTGAGTCATATCCATGCCTACTTGGGGTTTGTTGTGCTTTGTTCTCCCATCAGATTGCCTCCCAGTGAAAGTTGTTTGCTACCAAAACCCGAGATGGTCTTATGCCACCAGTGCCAGAAGAACACATGGGGGCTGGTTCAGCTCACATCTCAGGTTACTCCGGCATCATGCAGATCAAATTTCCCACCTACTCGCCCCTCCGCTTCTTCTGTGGCTTGGCTCGGCCCTGCAACATCTCCGGCATCCGGGGTGAAGGGCTCAGCAACGATGACCGGGTCATGCTGCTCACGAAATGTGGTGCGGGAACGGCAGAGGAGCTTGCGGTGAAGTACCTGTTGTTTTTTTTTGGGGGGGGTGGGTGAAGACTCGAGGAGGTGCTTCTAGTTCTACACAGGTGTATGACCGACTGGGTTTTGAAGCTCACCCCCAAGCCCCACCATGTGATGGCAATGTACTGTGGTTTCTCTGGATCAGTGTTTTATATCATTAATCTTTCCCCTGATTGAGAATAAAATAAAAAACAATCAAACAGTACTAAGTGGCCTGAAAATGAATAGATCCAATCTCAGACCAAGCAAGAGCCAAACTCTCGGAGATGGCGATGGAGAAGGTGAATCTCAGACCAGGCTTTCGCATGCTTTCGAAACTTTCCAGGGGAAGATCCTGAATATTCCAGAAAATTGGGGGGCCATCTACAATGTGGGGCCCCCCCAGTTATAAGATGGTTTATAAACCCCATTAACTATAGTTATAGGTACCATAAACCATAGTTATTGGAGTTATAAACCAACTTGGCTATCTAGGGGGCCCCACTTTGTATGAGATCTATGATCTATGGCCTCCTAGTGCCTGCAGGAAGCCACCTTTTTGGAGGGCGCCTTCTCCATGGCTACCTTCGATGAAGGCGGCACCTTCCTTCTTCCTGCCTCGGTGCAGGCAGTGTCCTATCAGGCGCTGCCTTCATGGGATCATGGGGACCTCGATGGGCTATGGAAATCCAAATGGGGTGCTGAAACTTGGCTGAAACCCCCAACTTGGAGCAGGAGCAAATTGACCCCATGTCCAACATTGGTCGTTCCATGCAGGAGTTTGTCAGTCGGATGCCTGCCTTCAAAGACATAGTCTGACAGTTGCAGCCGGGCCCAGTGCGGAGTCATAACACCGCCAAGATCATTCAAGATCCAAATCAAATGGAATCTATAATGCCACTATTCCAATACTTAAAGAAGCACATTTTACTAGCCATATGGATCCATATGGTAACATGTGACCTGACTCTTCTGGGAGGTGTGCTGGTGCGCGGCAGAACAAACCTGCGCCAATCCACCAGATTTCAGTGCGACGCTGGGCCGGGGGCCTCAGGTTCTTTTTGGGTGGGAAGAAAATGATATGGGTATGGATCAATACCTATTAATACCATTTTTAGGGGCATGAACATCCATAAATCCCAGCTATTTTGATGTGAACTACAGGGGTACAAGGTTTTGACACACTGCCATATGAAGTTAAGTTGCTAGAGGGAAACAAACTTGAAGGAAGATTTGGATGGTTGGAAGCCGTGGTTTGCTTTAAGGGTTTTGGATTCTGCCTTGGAATTTGCACGGACATTGCCCGCACGAGTCTTTCAGAGGCGGATCCTGCCTGAAACGGTTTCTAGATAAGGTCCTAAACTTGATGTGACAAGATGTCCAGATGGTCCCTCTTCTGGTGCAGCTGCGCAGGCTTTGTGGACTTTGGTGGTCCGCTCCCTGATGTTGTGTATCGATGCTTTGAGTGGGAAGCCTGTGAAATCGAAGCCCTAGATGGAACCTCTCTTAGCCCCTTGGTCCAAGGCCCCTGGGTCACTCTTTTTCTCCTTCTTTTAACATCTGAAAGCAATGGTTTTGGATCGTTTGCGATTCATGGGCCTCTCATGTGCAGCAAAGAAATATTGATGACGATGACGATGATGGATGGTGGTGAATGATAGATGCAGATGAGGCTGAAGCTGCTGTTGCCGAGGTGACGGTGACAGGTTACTGGTGGTCCCAGATGGCACGAACTGTTTGGATCTACCTCCTGGCCTTTTCCAAGAAGGTTTTCCCTTGCAGGGCTTGTCCCTTCCAGCCACCGATGGCGGACGACGCTACTCCTGGGGTTCTGGCCTCGTCCGTGCCGCAGTGGGCTACTATGCCTTGTGCTGGTGCAGCAACACAGGGGGCGTGGCCGATGACAACAGCAGCAACCAGACGACCGTGACGAGCTGCACTGAAGAGGGGCCATTTAGAGTGCCGGCGGGGGTGATCAGAGTGGGATCCAGTAAAGAGTTCCAGTTCATCAGCAACTCTCAGGAGTGCCTTGGACCCTTTCAATGGGCGGATAAATGGCTGATATGTTTGATATGTTTGATGTTGCGTGCCAGATTTTGCAGCATAGGAATAGACAATCCGTTTTTTTGTTCGGTTGCAGCAATTTATTTGCAAACGTCGCCTTGAAAGAGGGAAAGAGCGACTGAGGGTCATGTAATTGAGCCGTAGCTGGCAAACGGGGCCCAGAATCCCACCCTTCAGTCACATTTTTGTTGATTTCACAGTCATTTGTTGATTTCACATGGTCATCTTCAAACTTCAAAACTCATTACTTCAGCTGATGTCACGTGGACGGAGCTGGTGTGGCCAAGGATTCCGCCACGAGCAGCCGACCCTCAGCTCAGTTGGCTTCTGGCCATCCCTTTGCCTGCGCTCTTCTTTGGGGCGATTTGTACGCCAGCTGCAGAAAAGTAGGGTCCAGCGGGCGTGTTTTTTTTTCCACGTTTTCCAGTGAGCTATGCGCAACTGGGAACCAAAATGAACCAAGCCGTATGTCCTGATTGTTGTTCGTTACATCCATGCCAAGGTGTTTGTGGTCACCATTGTTGTTGGCAATAGTGTTGTACCGTCCCACTTAGTCCTTAGTAAGTTCCCTCGCATAGTGTAACCGCTTGACAATTAGCTTACACATTTTTACACATAGAACTCGCAGCTTTTTGGTCGGGCAAGGCATTTTCACAAAGTCCTGACATCCAAAAGACATCCCCAAATCACAAAGTTTCACAACTCCAAACGTTTTCAGCACCGTTTTTCCACGGTTTTCCACCTTTTCCCAACCCTTTTTTCCTTTCAGACGCTGACGCCCACGGTCTCCCGAGGTCTGGGCATCTCCCGGGTCCGCGGCCGCCGCAGCGGGCGCGAGGCGCCCGAGGCGCCGCCGCTGGTGGCGGAGGCCGACGCGGTGCTGTCGGCGCAGCGGCTGCGGAGTGGCGCGGTTCGTGGGGATTTTTGATGGGAATTTCATGAATGGGGGATTTCATGGTTTCTAGGGTGATTTGTTTGGGGACTCATTTAGTTTTCGGTTTATTGAGGTTTTTGACCAACAAATTTATATACTTTTCTTGTTTTTTGGGATGATTGTAGTCTGTATAGTACTGTATAGTATTCTGCTATTACAATTGTTAAATTATTCCTAGTCTGATTATTGTTGTTACTATTATAAATTATGAGTATCTACCATTATTATTGTTATTGTTGCAATTATTTTTTTTTCTGGGAAGAAATCATTATCATCTCCCCAACTAGCATTCAGACCCTTAGAAATTGCCAATTAGAGGAATGTGTTAGGTCGGTGGAATTATTATTGGGATTATGTTGCCACATGGTCATTGGGAATGCAGCAATATTTATCAGGATCGCATGGCCATTGGGGAGTGGCTAATTTTATGAAATCTCCATCGCCATGTGGCCCCGTTTTTGGCGATGAAGCAACCGCTTGGAGGATCGTATAAGTACGTGCGTCACTCTGCATTTTTTTCGGCTGAAATTTGGAGGTGCAAATGATATTAGCTACTACAGTAATACTTCTAGAGTTGGTGGTTTCAACTATGTTTGATGGTTGCTGAACCGAAGAACATGAATCGTTGTTTCGCCAAAATAAGTTTGCTTCTTGTGGAATTCTTGAAGTTGGGTCCGTGACACTCATCGCTTTTGCTGACAAAACATCAATCCTGTTGTCGGATCCTTGTCAAAGTCCCAGCTTCTTCGTCTGAGATCCTCATGTTTGCGGTCTAGAATCCAAGCCGTGGAAGTTCAAATCTGGCAGAAGATCCATGTTTTCTCAAGGAACTTCCCCCAATTTTCAGACGTTTTTCTTCTGGAAGTCATTTCCAAGGCATGCTGGCTCTGGACTCAAAGGTGTGGCTGGGGGCATCAAATTTCTGGGGGGAACAGGGCCAACAAGTCAGGCCCAAACACATAGATTTTGATAGATTTTGGTCATTTTTACTTTCGAACATTCATTTTTGGAGAATTCAAGTTTGACATGTTTGACCTGTATCCTGCTAGTTTTACTTTGGTTCATGTTCCCTATCTGAGATGTTGAGGCCGTTTTGATGAGTGTGACTAGTGACTTGAGGGTTGCTTTTTGGGATGGGTGGCAGGGTGGTCTTTCCCAGAAACACTCAGCTGTGGCTGGCAGGAAGTGGCTGATACTCGCGATGACATCAGCAAACTCATGGATCGCAGTCGGAAAAACTCTGATCAGAAATCCAGCCTACTGGCCTTGTACCCTGGCCATATGTCCGAGTCTGAAAATGGGTAATCACCATACTCAATGGGCACTTTTTTAAATTAGGAAAATGATGAGAATCCATTGGTTTTGTATGCCCTAATTTTAGACAAACCCAATCAAAGCCATATTTTCAAAGTGGGGACTGGAAGTTGGTCAGGATCAACCAATGGTTGGTGATTGGGCTGGATTCCTGGATGACCTGAAAATAGGATAGAAATGTGCATCACATGAATAGCAGCCTCGGCAAAGAATATTTTCTGGCACCTGGCCGCAAGGTATTTGATTCTGCGGCGCAATATCCAGGCACTCAGGGGAGGGTTTCAGCTTGATTCTGTTGAGCCGGGTTGGAGGGGTCAGGGAATTACGAGCTGATCCATTCATATGGTGACGCATGCCGGGGGCTGTGGGCTGACCCCGGTGACCTCACATTTTGACACATTGGTCCAGGGCAGTACGGAGCTGAAACGAAAGCAAAAGCAGACCAAAAAGGTCTATGGCAAGCCGAAACAATTGGATCCTCGGCAGAGATGGTCATGGTACTATGGTACTGGGGGCGTTAGTGGCGATAGCAGTGTTCAACCCCAACGATTGTTTTGTCTCTCTCTCTCTCTATCTATAGACTCTTCTCTAATCTCTCTCTCTCTCTCTTTCTCTAATCTCTCTCTCTCTCTCTTTCTATATATATATACTTTTTTTAAAAAAACACACTATTTTTATGGTTCGGGAAGGTTGGGTTGGGAGCTTTTAGACTGTCGGCTCTTCAATGAGGACAGAAATTCTGCTCAACACATCCCCTCCCAACCTACAGCACTCCTCTCAGGAGCGGCAAGGGACAGGTGCCTTGGTTTCAGCGGCTTGCGAGATTGTGGCTCTCGGCTCTTCGAACAACTTGCTGACAACATCATACAACATAGATAGGAAATATTTTTCAAAGTAGTGTATGAAAGAGTTGATTAGCAGTATAGTCTAGTAGTTGGTGTCAGACAAATAATGCGAGATGTGTGCAACATGGTAAAAAGCCCTAAGGTTTGAGCCGCTCCTCCGCCAATAGCTCCTTTGCGTCGCTGTAGCTTGGCTACGATTTTGTGGTTTTGATGGCATTTGATGGTTGAGGCCTTGTGAACTACACAAGCATCATCAATCATGAATCATGAATCATGAATCATCAATGTCACCGCCGTAGTCGTCGCAGCCGCCGTCGCCGTCGCCGTCGCCGATCAGCACCAGCACCAGCACCAGCACCATCATCACCACCACCACCACCACCAGCAGCAGCAGCAGCACCACCACCACCATCATCATCATCATGATCATGCAGATGGACATATTTCCCCTGGTTTCTTCTCGCTGGGTCAGGTTCAGGCACCTCAGCTCCCGCTCCTTCAGGAACAGATCCGAGAAGAGCGACTATTCCTTCAAGTCCTCCAATGAGAACAAGCCACTTGCCATATGTGGTTTTGAACCATGAAACCATGCGAACATATTTGACATACAGTTTTTTTTGCGGGGAAGTTTGGGTTTTCGAATGCAGTCCAACTTTTTGATCTTGTTGATGGCCAGATGGGATGCTCTGCGGATGGTTGCCAGGATGGTGTCGCATATTCCACTTCCGCCCCGCTTGGATATCCACAACTTCCGAAGCCCCACGGCCAACATTCCGGGTTTGGTGGAAATTGTGGAAGAGGACGAAGACGGCTTTGCGCCCTTAGAGGAAATCGAAGTTGAAGATGTGGACTTCAGTGAAGATTTGTGAAATTGAAAACTTGTGGATAGAAATTGCTTCAAGTCTGGCTGGTGGTTTCATATATGTTCCTGAAGATGTGATGAGAACCCCCAACTGAGTTCGATATTGTCAGGGCTGAAGCCACCAACCAGACTTCCTTTTCTGCGCGGCGAGCGCCCGGTGTGGCATAGCATAGCTTTTATTCCGACCGACCTGATGATGGGCGGCAAGAATCAGGGTGCAACTATTATGAATCTAATACTGCTTATGAATTCTAGTTTGATTTGTTAAATCTCCTTGCATGCGACTTGATAATTAATGTAGGAATCTTTTCACCATCCTCAATTCTTTCTCAGATCTATTGACGCAGACTTGTTTGGACTAAGCTGCACTCCGCAGGCTGGGGGGTCTGCAACTGCCCCTGCTCCAATGTCATCTCACCTTGCCCATTTTTGGGAACCGGCCAAGCCGAGTGGGGCCAAGAGCAGGGGAGTTGGCCCTCGGCCCTGGGCATGGGTGTTTCCATGTCCCAACTCATCCCAAATCCCAATTCCTAAAAAAAAACGTGGAGGATTCCTGGAGGATCCAATGTCCGCCTCGCCTATTTTGATGCACGACTGCCATAACAAAGCGGCAGTGCCTTCCTGCACCTAAGGTGCAGGTGGGTTTGCTGTGTTGCCAGTGATGCATAAGGTACAGCAACTGCAACAGAGGTTCAAGAGGCAGCTTGAAGATGTAGAATTGATTTGGAACAATTCGTGGCATACCTGTTGGTGCCATTGCGACAAGAACCCCTCCGAGATGGGAAAACAAGATAAACAATGGATATGTGATCGTGTCATATCATGTCAGCTGTCACTGTGCCAGTGCCACTTACAGTTGGCCATCTAGTGCACCTCAAACCTGCTACCTTCCATTTTGCCGGGTAAATCCCAATGTAACTTTAATGCGTATATATACATATATAATATTCTAACATCATCCTACCCAGCCAAAACAGGGAAAGCTTGACAAGGTAGTTTCAATATTCCATGTTTCCGCATTTTTTGGCAATGAATTGGGGATATGCAGCAGCGTACAACACGGCTAATATTTTCGCAGGGTACCAAAGATTTATCACAAAAAGTTGCATTCCCTCCAACATAGACCCCGCCACAAGTTGGAAAGCAGCTTTTATTTTGGAGGGTGGTGGGTTGGGTGGTTTTCATGTTTATTCCTTAAATTTTGCTTTATGCAAATAGTTGGGTATTTTTGAGAGGTTCCCCCATAATTTAATTACAACATATTACAACCATATTTGCATCTCAAAGTGCTTCTTTTGGTGGACACTTCTGCACATTTCAAGACCCACTCGGCCAAATCCATGAATTTTTGGGTGTTTCTTTTTTAAAAACCCCAAGGAGTTGTTTATGGCATTGGGTTGCCCACATGATGGGGGGTACCTTCTGGTAATTTAACATAAATGGAAAATTACATTTTTTAATGGGAAAATTCACTATAAATGGCAATTTTCAATAGCTATGTTAAATTACCAGAGGGTACTAACGCTGTTCCCATAAATCAAGGGGGTATCGGCTCGCCAGGTACAGGTGAGGTGCCTCCCGGCGGCATGGCCATGGAGAACTTATGGCTGTGGGGTGATCGGAAGTTGGGCACCCAGTGGGGTCAGCAGGAAAACATGGGGAGGGATAGGTATCAAAAAAAAATTAAAAACGGATCAAAAAAAAATTAAAAGATCAAAAAAAAATTAAACCGGCATATAAGAGGAGGAAAGAAGAAGGAAGGAAGGAAGGAAGGAAGGAAGGAAGGAAGGAAGGAAGGAAGGAAGGAAGGAAGGAAGGAAGGAAGGAAGGAAGGAAGGAAGGAAGGAAGGATAGAGAATAGAAAGGAAGGAAGGAAGGAAGGAAAAGGAAGGAAGGAAAAGGAAGGAAGGAAGGAAGAAGGAAAGGAAGGGAAGGAAAAGGAAGGAAGGAAAAGGAAGGAAGGAAAAGGAAGGAAGGAAAAGGAAGGAAGGAAAAGGAAGGAAGGAAAAGGAAGGAAGGAAGAAGGAAGGAAGGAAAAGGAAGGAAGGAAAAGGAAGGAAGGAAAAGGAAGGAAGGAAAAGGAAGGAAGGAAAAGGAAGGAAGGAAAAGGAAGGAAGGAAGGAAGGAAGGAAGGAAGGGAGGAAGGAAGGAAGGGAAAAAGGAAGGAAGGAAGGAAGGAAGGAAGGAAGAAGGAAGGAAGGAAGGAAGGACAGGAAGGAAGGAAGGAAGGAAGGAAGGAAGGAAGGAAGGAAGGAAGGAAGGAAGGAAGGAAGGAAAAAATAAAGAAAGGAATAATCAAAGGAAGAAAAAAAAGAAGGACTAAATAAGACCACGATTTCAATCTATGATGGGTTGCTGGATTGCCTCGTTGTATGGAGCCTGTTTTTGGCTCCAAATCCCTTTTCCCGCTTTGGTCAGCATGACCCGTAACAGCATTGCGGGGGGAGGCGCTGCGCCCTCCCCCCTGCACCCCCCCACCCGCTTTTATTTTTAAACCGGTTCCCCTTGCTACCTACTATTCCTTTCTTTTTGCACAAGCATCATCGTTTATTTGGGTTAATTTCATCTTTGTTGATATCCATCGAGACTTGTGCCTATGTGCTTCTTTCTTGATCTTCTCGTTCTTACTTGCAATATACCCATTGAGACTTGTGCCTATGTGCTTCTCTCTTGGTACGCATTGCGGGGGGAGGCGCTGCGCTCCCCCCTGCACCCCCCCACCCGCTTTTATTTTTAAACCGGTTCCCCTTGCTACCTACTATTCCTTTCTTTTTGCATAAGCATCATCGTTTATTTGGGTTAATTTCATCTTTGCTGATATCCATCGAGACTTGTGCCTATGTGCTTCTTTCTTGATCTTCTCGTTCTTACTTGCAATATATCCATTGAGACTTGTGCCTATGTGCTTCTCTCTTGGTACGCATTGCGGGGGGAGGCGCTGCGCCCTCCCCCCTGCACCCCCCCCCCCGCTTTTATTTTTAAACCGGTTCCCCTTGCTACCTACTATTCCTTTCTTTTTGCATAAGCATCATCGTTTATTTGGGTTAATTTCATCTTTGTTGATATCCATCGAGACTTGTGCCTATGTGCTCTTTCTTGATCTTCTCGTTCTTACTTGCAATATATCCATTGAGACTTGTGCCTATGTGCTTCTCTCTTGGTACGCATTGCGGGGGGAGGCGCTGCGCCCTCCCCCCTGCACCCCCCCACCCGCTTTTATTTTTAAACCGGTTCCCCTTGCTACCTACTATTCCTTTCTTTTTGCATAAGCATCATCGTTTATTTGGGTTAATTTCATCTTTGTTGATATCCATCGAGACCTCTGCCTATGTGCTTCTTTCTTGATCTTCTCGTTCTTACTTGCAATA